CCCCAAAACCCCAAAACCCCAAAACCCCGTAGGGACAGATTGAAGAGAATTGAGAGTGGAATTAGAGTAAATGTTTCAAGAAATCTGAATAGAAATTTTCAAGAATTAGCTGTTGTTTATTCAGGAAATTGCGTCAAGAATTTGAATTAAATCTTTAAATTTTTGCAATAAAGTTAGTTACCTAACTCTAAATTTTTTCTACATTTCAGCAAAAAATAAACAAACAAATGCAACAAAGCCAACAGAAGATCTATTAATTGCAAAGTCTCAGAGAAGAGTTTTCTGGATTTCCGATCTAGCCAACAGTCTCGAAGCCTGCTTAACCAAAGAAAAATTCTAGTTTGCTCTAAGCACAAATCAAATGTAATTAACTTTTTCCAACATATCATTCTGACCACTAATTGTAGAAGCATAATCAAAGAATCTTGAGCAGACGTTAAAAACAGACGGTAGGAAAACTCAAGTGTGCAATTCTTTGTACATTCCATCTCTGGCAAAGAAGAAATTGCCAGTATACCCTTCATTCCTATAAAAAGACGATCAAAAACAAAACAATGCGAATTCCATTGTCAAGTCTAGATTATCTGTATTTAAAGAATTTCAAGACGTCCCCAAGGATTATGCAGCTATTTCCACGAAGGATGATGAAAGCGATACTGAATTTGACAAGTAAATACCAATTATCTTAAAATTGCATAGGTTGATGAGTGAAATTGATATGAATTTAAAACAAAGCTTCCTTGATAGCTGCCAGAGCTCGCCAAGAAGAGATCAAGAGCATTTTGAGACTCTTAACTCTCCTATCTAATTCTCAGCTAGGACTCTCCAGCATTCAAGTTCAGAGAAAATCATGAAAAAGGACAATACTTAACATTAGCCTTCCAAGATTCTTAAAATTATGAATGTTAGAGATCAGTAGAATCTCAAAACTGAGCTCAGTTGTTTCGGCAAAATAATATTTCAGGATTCTCACTATCTTAATTAAAAGTAATTGAAACCCAATCTAATTCATTCATTTTTAGTCATTACATTGTAAAGTACGAGAGAATTGAAGACGCTGAGTCAGCTTTTACTTCATTAGCTTAGAAATACGAAATAAATTATATTAGCACTTAGCATGCTTCTGACGAAGCCCTTTACTATCTAAATAAGATTAGAGGTGGAGACTAACAAGAAGAAGATGCCTGTCTTACATTAAATATGTTTAAACTGAAAAGCAATGTTTCATATTAGAATAACTCACAAAGAGATAATGCTCCCTACCAAGGTTTAAATACAATGAATGATAGTTTTAAACAATCATTTATCTCAAACTAGACACTGGAGTCTTATTCCTCAAATAATGAAGACAATAGAAATCAGGTTTATACTCAATAGAGTAACTTGAAATTCTAACAAAGCTTGTATTAAAACCAGATATAAAGAACATTTTCTGTTCCATAATATCACCAGAACAATTTGCAATACATTTAAAATACCTATCAACAGTAGTAACTTCTAGCATAGTAAAATTAAATGGTATCAAATTTCGCTTAATACTAGTAATAATACTATGGCAATCAACAAATTATGATGTCAAGGAACGATGCAATCTTCCAAAACTATCAAAACTTTACTCCAGTATAAAGGAATCCCTACCAGATTAATGACCTTCAATCGAAGTCATAATCTCAATCCTTTATCTCAACAGGTTTTGAATATGCTGACCAATCAAAAATGATTCCGAATCACAGCTATATACCTCAAATGCCCTTAAGTATGATTCCCTAAAGATAATTTAGTTCAGTCTCACCAATAAATGATCAATTTTATCCGCAGGCTTAGTAATAAATAAATTAGAATATAAATTTAAATCTTAACCAAAGAATCAACAGCGAGCTCTAAACTTTTAAAGACTAAGTTTTCCTATCTAGGCTAGAGGAATCAAGCAAATAAATAACAAAGTCCTTTGAAGAATATTTAAGTCTTGAAAAGGCAATTGAGAGAGTAAACCTAAGTGCCAGTGATGAAGAAAATAAAAATTAAGAGAACGAGACAAACTAAACTACATAGGTTTCAAATGAAGTGCTTAACTAATCGATATCGCCAAAGAATGACAATGAAGTCAATTTGTCTGAAATTCAGCAAAACTTTATTTTGCCATCTGAGGATACCTCTAGTATTTAACAATCCTAGAACACAAGACATAATACAGGATTCAAATTAAATTTGAATGATATCCTGAACTTTAAGGATCAGAGAACTACAATAATGATAAAGAACATCCCAAACAAGTATACTTAGAAAATGCTTTTAGCAAAGATAAACCAAAATCACAAGGATAAATACGATTTCTTCTATCTCCCAATCGATTTTAAGGTAAGCATTTTCTAACTTTAATAATTCTATAGAACAAATGCAACGTTGGATATGCATTCATCAATTTTGTTGACTCCATCTTTATCTTGAAGTTTTTTGAGGAGTTCAATGGCAAGCGATGGGAGTGCTTCAACTCAGAGAAAATCTGTGAGATTACCTATGGACGTATCCAAGGTAAATTAAACCTCAGCGAGCACTTTGACCAGTCTAACTTATGGTACTAAAATGATAGAAAAGTAAAGCCTTTGATCTTGAATGTTGTTCCACCTACCACTAGCTTCCTTAAGGACTACAGAAAAAATCTACTCTTAAATTTTGGATAAAAGGAAACTTAACTTAAGTTCCAAAAGAGAGAGGAAGAATAAGATAAATGCTAGAACTATACTAATAGTGGAAATGACTACAATGGCTCTACAAGATAAGTTAGAAAAGCCTTTTTTGAGGTAAACAAATGAAGACAAGTATGAAATAAGAGGAAGAATCGCTTGCCATAAATAATTTTTTGTTTTATGACACACCTATATTTCTTAATAATGATATATATCTATGAGTTCCAAGCTTATAGCTTTGAATTAATTTTACTAATAAGTTTTTTATTACTCTTATTTTATTCAATAAGGATCTTATGGGGTTTTGGGGTTTTGGGGTTTTGGGG